GTTGGTAAAAAGTACAGATAAAATCCATGATCCCTACACTCTCATGTTTTTCTGTTGAAAACAAAGAATGGGTATGATTGCTGGTTTTTTGCAGATTTGTTGTGGAGGAGTGTGAACGGCTACCGTCTCCCTATATGATGTTCTGCGAGGCGTGCTTCCGAGAATTCTTCTTTATGCACGGTCACAAGATTGGGCGTTTCAAAGCTCATCCTTACATGCCGATCAACCGCTTTACGGTCCTTTAACATTGATATCTTCGCGCAATTATTGCACCTTTTAATAGTCTTTCTTCACCGGTTTGTCTTATGAGACTTCTTTCTACGCTTCCCTTTACCCTTCCCTCCAGTGTAAGCAGGGAAAGGTGGACGCTCAAACGGGTAATAGCTTTAGTGGCAAACTTTAACTCACATTTAAATAGATTTTGCCTTCAATTTTTGCGGTTGAGAAATTTTGTCATTGTTCATTGATAACTGATTCTGGTACCTTTCAACCGTTGTGATCTCGGCACATTTTATGAGATCGCTTTTCTTCTGTAATTTGCCGTCCTCTACCTGGGTATTGTTAATAAGTATAGCTGAATTTTCTAGTTATCATTTGGATGTTGTTTACTCACATCAGTTACCACGCTGTAGCAATGCCTTTTTGCTAGGTAGTGAGTTCCTATGTTCTAGAGTGTCAAGGCTTCTTGATGTTCGTTATCCTCGATAGCCTAAGCTTTCTCTCTTGTCACCTTGTTAAAATTTTATGTACAATTGTTTATGGAAACGTTTTTAACACATAAAGATATTGATATATCAGATGAAGTGAAGGAACAGTGTGGTTATGAAACCTATGTATTATTTCGTTTTATTTCATCGAAGAAGTTCAGAATTTGCTTTAATCAGTGCACAGTCTGGTTTTCTGATGAGGAGATCCGATACTTGATCTGGTGCTTCACACTCTCCTGTTGATTTTCCAAAACATTCAGATTTTGCGATTTCACCATCTATGAAGTTTTCGTGAACTCCACATATTGTGTGACGCTTTGAGCAGGTAAATATCAATTGTTTTCCGAAAAAAAAAAATCAAAAGATCAATGGGTAAGGGTGTAGGTCGGCAAATTGACAGAAAACGATATTTCGCTTTTTGCAGTGTGGTTCTATCGCTTGTGGGAACCTTTCGCGTCTAATCATAAATCGGAGAGCGTACTGGGGCTCAGGGTGAGCTGTGAACAGTTGAAAATAAAACTCGCTTTCGTATTCCTAGTGGCTCAAACCCGCTTGGATGGGAGGTTATTCTTAAATAATTTAATGGGTAACTTCAACAGATTTTATCGTTCAAGCAGTGGTAATCGGTCCATGTCCATTAAAATAGTGTCATGTACAGTGCTCTGGGTCGACATTGACAAGAAAGCATCACTGATCAGGAAGATATTTATCGCACAAATATGCAGATAAATGTGGTACGAGTTAGGTCAGGAGCTAAGCTGAGCTTATAAACCGCCGCGTTTTCCTGGACATCTGGATGGATGATTGTCCATGCTTCCCCCTTATATAACCTGCGTGTTTTTAATTTGGAGGTGACGAGCGATTTACTTCTAGATTCGTTTGCATCTCCGGTATATCAGTCATGAGCAGACAGTAAATAGGTGACAGACTTTACTGAACGAATAATGCTCCTCTTTTCTTCACGGAAACTTATGGGGTTTTGGTCTTGATTTTTGAAAACAAAAGCTCTCATGTTTTCCAAATCGCGTTGGTGTGTCGAGTTGCAATTCTGCCGTATCGCGAAGCGAGGAATTCAAATAGCCTTCAGTGTGTAATGAATTGCACTGTTGAAAAGTAGGAAAATGGTTGATGTTGAAGTATGAGAAGTCGACGACAAAAAGTGATGAAACTCAAGAATTCTGCTATCCTTCAACTCTGTTCCGAAAAGGAGACAAAATTGATGATGTTATGGCGGGCAGGCTATCGAACAAGATTGAGATTATGGAGAGGGAATGGAGAGGAAGACCCATAGCGCTGTGTTACATGCTACTTTCGGATAATCTGTCGAACAACTTTCGCTTGAAAATGGCTTCTCTTTTCTCGATCATCGTACCACGGTTTCAAGGGCGACGGTTCTGCCCTCTCTGTTTTTTTTTCGGTATATCTCTTCCTTATGAGTTAGTGTGCCAAAAATATTTCGAGCATCCGTTTTTTATTTGAATAAATTTCTGTTGTTTAGTGTTTTATTTTTGGATTCTCATTAGTTCCAGGAGAATTTGTGGCGATGACATCTCGATCGCTGCGATTGTTAACTACAGTGCGTGCTATCTCACATACGGCATCTGCTCGGGATCGATATGACCCTCGCTTGTTCCGTGAACCTATAACAGATATTAAGCAGGTTTATTTTTTTCGCTTTCTCTGCAAATTTCGCTTTAATTAAGCTTTTCTTCTCTCTGTTGGCCTGTATAGTTCTGGTGCATAGTGCTGGTGATGCTCTGATTCGCTTTCTGATTTTCTTTCTGTAACTAAATGTGGAGTTTATTTCCAGGTGCACGAACCTCTCGACGAGAACGATGAACGCAATTTTCTATATATCAAAGCCATGAAAAGTGATGAGACGCCAGTATTTTACAGAGATCACACGGTAAGCTGTTTACTGACGTAGTAACCAAACAGCAGCACCTGCTGGGCTTCTGCATTCAAACGCTCCATTTGTCACAAGATATGATTTTGCTTGAAAATGAAACCCTGAACAGTGAAATGGGTTGCCAGTGAGGGAAAAAGCGAATGAGCCGTCGCAAGCTTTGAAACTGAGATTTTTCTGTGAAGTGGCAGTAACAGGCGAAGAGTTATTGGACACCAAGGACTTACAGTAATAGCATCTTGGAATAATGGGCGTCACACGGAGACTGTGCCGTAAACTGATGTTTTTCAGTAGCATTTTCAGCATGCTGCAGTATTTACGAAAGTGCCTAGTCTATTTTGTCACTCACTTTCGAAATGCAAGATTATTTATATTGAAACTTTGTGGATGGCTTTATCCTAAACACGGAAGTCACTGTTCCCGCTAGCTTGATAGTTTAGGTTATCTCCAAGCTAGAAAAAAAACTAGCCATATGTATAGTCTGCTTCCTGTTAAAACCGTGTTTTTTTTTTGAAGTGGAGCACCGATTTAAGAAACTGTGTTAGAAGTCCTGGTTTTTTCTATTTCTTTCTATTCTCATGGTTGCAAACAATATTTCAGGTAGACAAGCTTATTCGAGTTTGTATGAAAAGTGGTAACAAGGAGACTACAAAACATCATGTATACTCTGCATTAGAAATTATCAAGAGACGGCAATACAAAGCTTGGTTGAATGCTAAGGATGAAGAGGAAAAGGTAAGTCCATTCCAAAAGAGCTGATTCTCATCTGTTGTTATTTTGTTTTAATTTCTGCTTCTCTTGTTCTCTATTTCAGAGTAAGATCGAATTGGATCCATTTGTAATCGCAAGAAAAGCCATCCAAAATTGTCATCCCCTCATGAAATTGCAAGGAGTCACAAGAGGTTTTGTGAATATTACGTTCATCTTTCTTCTTAAAAGTATACGTATTCAAACCAACGGCATTATTCTCAAACAGACCAAAATTATGTAAAGAAACCTTTCTAATAGGTAGCTCGAAGGTGAAGGAACTAGGTAGTAGGTCTGGGTAATCGCGCAACCTGAACGGGCATCCTAATAGCGGTGAAATGACTGCATGTTCATAGCGGAGACAAAGAGACTGGCAAAGGCGTGAATCGATGGGTGTACTCGGAAAGGGCATTTAGTGATGAGATGTTGGAACGGCTCGAGTAATGGGATCGCCTGGTGAATGAACCATTACTATAAGTCGAGTGTTGCCACTCAAAAAGTCAGTATAGAGGCTTGGTGTGGGTTGGGTAGGGTTTGTGTAGGTTGGTAGGTTTGTAATGTAGGGTTTGATCAGATATGTATTGTTCTTAGTTAGATTCTGCTGAAATGGAAGGACAAAATTGATGTGTTGGATTCCGTGCTGGTTTCAGGTGGTACGACATATCAAGTCCCGTTCCCCATTGAGAAAGCTGAAGCTGAGTTCCGAGCAATGAAAATGATGCGAGATATATGCCGACAGAAGGCCGCTCATGGAGAAACACATTTAAAGTAAGTTGAAAGTAGTAAAGTAGTTTGAAAAGAAGTTGTCTCAAGGCACAAAGCTTTGGCCGCAGTATGGAGGCTCTTATTCTTCATATTATGTGGTAGGAAATTGAAAGAAAATCATTCAGGGACATCTTAGCCAGCGAATTGCTAGCAGCGAGTCAGAATGAAGGACTGACGATACAGGCTAAACAGGAGTTGCACAAGACATGCGAAGCTAACAGAGCGTATGCTCACTATAGGTCGTAATAAA